CGGCCCCTCCGAGACTGGGGAGGCTCCACGCCCGCCCTCACCTTGTTGGTGAAGCAGGACGCCAGGTAGAAGAGGCAGAAGGCGAGGCCGCCCGCCGGCCTCTTCAAATACATCTGTCACCGCACGCCCCGCCGCGAACGCCTCGGTGCGCGGGCCCGGCCGGCAGCGGCGGCGGACATCGCAGCGACACGTCGCGCCGCCACCGCCCCAATGGGCAGCGGCCACCCGCCCCCGGGCGCCGCCCCCTTAAAGGGCCGTTGCTGCCGCCTGGCAGCGCTGGGGCGCGCCCCCGCCGAGGGGGTTCGGCGCGCTGCCGGGCGGAAAGCTGGGCGTGAGCCGGCAACGTGCGCTCGCAGCCCAGAAAGCCAGCCGTACCTTGGGCTGCATCCAGAGCAGCGTGGCCAGCGGGTCGAGGGAGGGGATTCTGCCCCTCTGCTCTGCTCTGGTGAGACCCCACCTGGAGTGCTGCCTCCAGCTCTGGGGTCCTCAGCACAGGGAAGACATGGGCCTCTTGGAGCGGGTCCAGAGGAGGGCCACAAAAATGACCAGAGGGATGGAACACCTCTCCTGTGAGGACAGGCTGAGAGAGTTGGGGTTGTTCAGCCTGGAGAAGCGAAGGCTCCGGGGAGACCTTACTGCAGCCTTCCAGTACTTAAAGGGGGCTTATAAGAAAGATGGGGACAGACTTTTTAGTAGGGCCTGTTGTGATAGGACAAGGGGTAATGGTTTTAACGTAAAAGAGGGTAGATTTAGCCTAGACAGAAGGAAGAAATTTTCTATGATGAGGGTGGTGAAACACTGGAACAGGTTGCCCAGAGAGGTGGTAGATGCCCCGTCCCTGGGAACATTCAAGGCCAGATTGGACAGGGCTCTGAGCAACCTGATCTAGTTGAATATGTTCCTGCTTATTGCAGGGGGGTTGGACTAGATGACCTTTAAAGGTCCTTTCCAACCAAAACCATTCTATGATTCATGGGTGACATGTAAACTATAAATATCCCAGGGAGGTAGAGAAGCGGTGAAAGACGTGACCGGCCTAGTTACAGTTACTGGGCGTTCTTTTATTATGGTCTAGGTAAGCCTCGTTCTTCCCAGATCTGGTATTAGCAAGGTCCTCTCTGCAGTTCTCACCTTGACTTCGCTCAGGTAATGCAAAGTGCGGGGCTCACTCTGTACACATACACCCTATTTTTAGAGGACAGAGCAAAGCCGCATAAATAAGGAACTGAGTGTGGCCTAAACGGGGGGCCAAGGGGGGCACTAACTGGTAGACCAGAGGCCAAATCCAGCCCATAAAATGAGCCTGTCTAACCTGCTGTGTTCAGCCTCAGAAGACAAAGTCAGCGGAGCACAACAGCTGAACGGTCTCCACCACACCAAGTCAAATTCAAGCATTTTGGTCCATCAGACGCAATCCTATCTGGTTTGTAAGGAGGTGGCCCAAACCAGATGTTGGATTTCCGGTGTTGAAAGGTTTGGTCCATCCAGGCCTACAGAGATCACTGACATGCTGCTGTAATGGATGCGATAGAGATGGCAGGGTAGGTGATACAGCATTTCCACTTTGGAGCATGTGTTTATGTAAGCATGTCAAATGCGTATTTTGCAAACAAAGGTATACTTTGCATTGTGCCAAAAATTCAGTCTGTAAAGCTTTAAAAAAGAATAAGCAAAGTTTACAGGTATCTACAAAGACTAATGTAAGCATGTGATAAGAATACTTTTGACTTTTTGTTTTAGTGGACTATCATTTTAATGCAAAATATTACAGTGATATCTGTGTTTCTTGCAGTATTTCTTATTAAAAGTGGGAAACTCAGGCAAAGATGATACATCTTCCTACAGCAAAATGCAGAGGTGGGTTTGAATTCTTATAAGCCACTTCCAGTGAGGCATTAAGAATGAAGATAGAAATTTCTGCCAATGTGGTTTATCATGACTGACTTGAATTACATATTAAGTAATCGCTATACAGCTTTGGAATTATTTTGAGTAATATGAAGGGAAGTTTTCACTCTATCTAGATTTTTAAACTATTTTTATTAGGAGATGTGAATGTGTGGCAAAGGATTTTGTTTACATGTTATTTTACAGAACATATCTTCCTAATATAATTCAGTTCAAAGCTTGATCCATTCATCTAAGAGGTCGTGGGATCAAGGCCTAATCAGGTAATATTTAAGAGACTAATATAGAAAACTTGTTTCTGAAAATTAAAAACAGAATAAAAAGACATAGGAATATTAAGTCATTGTTAATGTCTTTTTGAATCAAGAACTACCAAAACCCATTTTCTTAATCAGTGCTTGTACAGCTGTGCTAGAGTAATGATTTTCTCAGGGCAGCAGGACATTGCTTTGACATTCTGCTCATTTATAAAGCTGATAAATTTAGCCAAAGAAGATTGAAGGGGGCATGGCAGCAGTCTTCACACCGCAAAAGGCAGCTGCAAAGGGGAAGAAATAATCTCTTTTGCCGGGGCTAAGGGCAGGGACGATAAGAACCACAGTGGTACTGCATCACCAGACAAAGCCATCCTAATGCCTCCGTGGCACACACCTGTGTCGTGCCTGCAGGTTGTGCGTTACAGCCTGGGTCCCTACCCTCTTCCAAACCCTCTGCCCTTCCTTTAGTTGGGGACTTTCTGCAGTCATGAACGCTGGAACAGGTTGTCTTGGGAGATTTTAACGTCTTACATCATTGTAGGTTGTTAAGGTCAAATTAGATGACCTTCGGCCAACAAAGCTGATTCTTGCAAGCCTAAGAGTCGACAAGAGTGGCTTTTGCTGGGCCTGCCCTGGCAGCGTGGGCATCTAGCAAAAAATGTTTAACGGGCAACTTACTCCGAGCAGGCCGGGGGATGCCACAGGGGCTGAACGAGCCCTTACCGCTCCTCCCGCTCTTGGAGCCAGCCAGCTTCGCTAGGCCTGCTTTCTGGGTATCGACAGCAGCTGCGACGGCACCATAGTCTCCGTTTGCAGAGACCTCTGACAGCTGGTGGTGAGCCAGGCCTGAGGAGGCTTCTGGGCATCGCTTCCTTCCTGTTGGGAAACGAGCTCGAGCAGCGGTCAGGCAGCGACTGCGTTGTAGCAGAACGCCAGCCCGTTGCCCCTGCCCTGGGAACAGGGCATTTTAGTGGCAACGCGGTTTCCCAGATAAAGATGCAAGATATGTAAAGATATAAGACATACAAGACTGAGGTGTAGCAGGTGTCAGGCGACACACGAAGTACTTGATTTTGTATTTACGGTGAGTCATGGGACCAGGATCAAATGAATTTGCTCGCTTACGGGTCCTTCCTTCCCCCTCCCTTGGTTACTTCCTTAGGCAGACGCAAACGTCGCCGATCTGATTTCATCCTATCTGTTTCGCTGCCA